GCCATTTAGGGCCGAAACATGTAGTGTGGAGGAGGGAAAGAAGAAAGTACTACAATTAAATTGTTGCACTTAAGACGGAGTTTGTCTCATATATATTGTGTGAGTGTAACAGGATGCTTAAATATAATATTGACAACAGAATACATTTTCTACCTTAGGACAGAGATAGAATTAAGTCTCTGAAATGTTATTTTAGGTTTCTTTATTTTTAAGGGGCTCTGTAGTTTTATTTGAATTAGTTATATGCAGTTTTTTGATCAGCTAACTTCATGGAGCATAGTCTTTCTTGAGAAATAGATAATTGCTCAGTAAGTATAGAAATTCCCCAAATTGTGTAGGACCAGAAAGCTCATTTTCATCCTGCAAGACCCAGTCACTGGACCGTATTTTCGGACACATGACTGCAGCCCTATTTTCACATCCTAACTCTTCAGAATCCCTTTCAGTATTATCTTCCCATCAGTGTCTGTGAATGTATATACTCATAAGTTCTCCTCTTATAATTTTTCTGGTTTGTGGATTTATTTAATTTTTCAAATAGATTTTGTCCCCATGGGATACCTTTATTGGGGTAGCCCCATCAGCAATATTCTCCTGTTCTCCTTGCATTGGATGGTTATGGGCTGGCTGGTGAGGTACTTCTGATCCATGGGCATGAGGTGCATGGAATTTTCCCTCCTGGCTGTCTTCATAATAATAATCAGGAGGTATGGGCTGTGCACTGTACCTCCCTCGCATTCCATCTGGACCCATTTTAGCGTTTCTCTCATTGTCATTCAAGTGTGAAGGTGTGTCTTCCATTGCGGGCACTGAATTAAAGTCTGTATGAAGAAAGAGAAGTTATTTCATATAACACATTCAATAATAATTCTCTGGTAGTATATTTTTAGTCTTAAGTTATGCATTCTGTTAGGCATAACACTAATATACAGTACACCTTTCAGTCACAACTTTCAACATTAGCAAGTGCCCATTAATGTATGTAGACCAAACAGGCAGAAATTTCTGAAGAAGCTTTAAAGAACACATACTATCAGTAAGGATCAATAAACCAAACTCTTAAATATGCACAACACTTAACTAGACACACAGCACACACATGACACAATAAAAAACAATGGGCATACTTCACATAAAAGGGGCCCCCTACAAAATACACTATAAGGTTCCACATACACAACCTTAACACAGAAAAAAACTCTGAATGACACATCACATTCATAACCCTGTTTTTGACTTGATGTTAAAATACAACACACAATAAACCACTCACTCACCCTCACTACCACCTGACATATGGAAACCTTGGAAGAAAACTGCAGTTCACTCTCAGGCAGTACATCATTATAGCAACAACAAAATTGAAACCCAACAAGAAAACAGGAAACAGTAAAATCTAATACCACCACACTAACAGTGAACAGCAATAACAAGAACAGGACCAAGAGACCTATCACAAAGCACATGCCCATTGACAGAAACATAATAATGACATATATCTATAGAACATCATAGGATAGTAAATAAGAACATATAAACAACCACAGACAATGAAAGCACCCACGAAATCTGTGTCACTACTATAAAGAATTCCAAAGCAGTCACAGTTTACCCCCCAACCCAATACTACTTATAACAACCCCACAATATAAAAATAAGAAAGCCCTTTAAAATCTAAGAAATAATAATATTCCAAGAATTTTACCGATTGATGTTAAATATTTCAGTTATATTTTTATTTATATGTACAAAACATTGAGTACTTGTATGTATGCATGTATATGTATTGTTTGTGTTTACATGATAAGTCTAACAGTGGCCCTATTGCATAAACAGTTAAGTAGTGAATAATGACACAGTTTATTATATATAAATTGCTTGATGATGGTCAAAAGACCAAAACGTGATAATATTTAAATAAAACATCAGTACTGGAAAACAAAAACATTGTCATTGATGGGTATACTGTATATTACTCTGGTACTATAACGTAGGACAGTAATTCTAATATTAAAGTTGTGATTGTGGGGTGCAAGGGATGTTTATGGATCATTTCATGACAGAGCCATTAATGTAGTCCTTCTTTATTAGTACACGGTTTCTACTCTCTTTTATATAACTTCCCTCCCTTGGTCTCTTCATCTGTCCTCAGCAGACCCAGTGGCCATTCATTTGACATCTTAATTTTTGGAACTCTGAAAGAATCCTATTTTTATCTATAGAAGCTCACATCCCTACAACTGTACCCTTAGTTAGTTAGTTACTAGAGAGGGTGGGTTTCCCCATGCACTGAGACCTGTATTGGTCCATTGTGCTTCCCTCTGTGATTTCTACCAGTCTCTATATCCTATCAGTACTGGTGCTTACCATCAGTCCCGCCCAGCCAGCGAGACCAGCTCTACTAGCCGAGAGGTATCTATAATGCTTCCCCCATCTACCAGAGGTATTAGAGACTGCTGTTGGGCGGGAAACGTCCGTTAATTTGGCTCAGTGACCTCCTTTGGAGATATGAGGTTCTTTTACGTGCCGTAAAGCTACGACACGGGACCCACGGCTTAAAGTCCCTCCCGGAGGACTTGTTCCCTGAATTTTTCCGCCCTTAAAAATTCGACGACCTCCGCCGGGTATTTGAACCTGTGTACTACGAGTCATGAGGTGGGAACGTTACCTCTAGACTATGGAGGCCGCTAACTGTACCCTTAATTTGACTAACTTAGCTCAGAATGTTTCCATTTTTGGATCTTACATAACTTATATTATTCTCACCTAGTAATTTAATCTCTAAATTTAAAAAGAAATGTGAACCAATACAGCACTATATTTATGTATACCTTGTAGAGGTGGTTGATGAGGAGATTGCCAGTTTGATGGTGGTGGCCTGTATGGTCCATTATTGTAGTAATTGTCTGCATTATTACTGCCATATTTATATCCATTATGTGGCACTTCACCATACTGAGCAGCAGGGCTGGTGCAGACATTAAACAATTTGCATGTTAATTCAACTCTTTTACTGTGCTGTTATTGTACAAACAATAAGCAAAAATATGCTAGTTGTCAAAGTGAAATGCTGCCAATATCTAGTACACAACAGGATTGATAAAATGTCACAAATAAATACGCTGTCATAAATAATAAATTTCCATATATGTACTATCAGAAATTTCTGGCAGTACACAATGGTACATTTTATTGGAACTTGTTTTCATGAAATACAAAAATGAATGTATCTTACAAAACATATCCATATGTCTTGGTCACTTTCTAGAAACATAATTCTTTTAGTGGTATTAGTCTTTCACTGTGGTTCATTCCTGATATTGATTTTGCTCTTGGATCTTTGCACCATGTGCCTGTGGGGAGTGTTGCCAACATTATGAAAGTATATGATGCCACCATCTTGAGGGTTGAAGTCTTCAAGAGCAAAGGGCTCTACTTGACCCTTGCTTCTTGCTTGCCTTATTTTGACCCTGAAGATAGAAGCAGTACATTCTTTCAAATCATTCGTTAACTTCTACAAGGCTACATGGCATACCCCAGAAGATTAGTAATCTTTACATTTAGCTTCTTGTTTTATGGCAATAACTGCTGAACAATTGGTGCTAAGTATGTGAAATTTTGTGTTGAGTCAAGTCATAAACATATCTACAACTTCTGTGAGAAACACTTCTTTTTATGTGTTCCCAATTACAGACATGGCAGTAGTATGAAACTATGATGCCAAATCTGATATACTTAGTTTTACCACTAAAAATTACAAACAGAAATTGACTACCGAATTGCATGTGTAGTAATTTGTAGTGGGCATGCGGTAGCATGGTTGGTTGAGGCACCGTGCTACAAGCCGGAAGGTCACGGGATTGAATCCCGAGGAGGTAATTGGATTTTTTCAATTTACCTAATCCTTCCAGCCACACTATGGCCCTGGGGTTGACTCAGCTTCTAACAGAAATGGGTACCAGGACTATTCTTGGAATGTTCTTGGGGGTAAAGGACGGCCGGCGCATATGGCTGACAACCTTGCCGCCATCTATGAGCTGATTGTCTAGAAAATGTGGGAACCTCAACATCTCACAACCCTATGGGCTTCCACGGCCTGTTACAGGGATAGCTTTACCTTTTTTTTACTTTATTAATTTATAGTTCCTACTACCAGCAATATACAGACTGTAACTTTTGAAGGAAATGAAGTATGGTGAGTTCTTCCCAAAAACTGTTCTTTAAGAGTTATGTATTGTATGGTAACTAGAACAGAGTAGTAAAAAATATGCTACAGGATCATCACCCAGGGCTAGCACCGCAATATTTCTGAGACTTGTAACTGTCTGGGGCAGCAGATTTACAGAGTTTTAGTTAAACAAACATACATGTCTGCATATCTTTTGTTCTTATTATGTCGATTAATTGGCAGTATTTTACAGCAGTATTATACAGCAGTGTGAATTTTTCTGTAATTAAGTATGATAAAGTTTTGAGAAAGTTGAATGTTTTACTTGGGGGAAGGGGATTACTGCTCACAGCCTGAGCATTTATTTAGGCCAGTATCTTTTGTCATAAAGTGAGTTGTTGCTACACATACTTCTCATGATTGGTACATGACTATAAATGGTGACCAGAATTCACAAATATGACTGTCATGAACAAAGGAATTTATCACAACTGTATCCTTGAAAAATTAAGTGTTCCAGGGTCACACTAAGTTTTAACCCGTTGCCGTGATTCGACGTGTATGTTTCGTCAGGGATTTAAATCGTCTGGGGGGGTTCGACGTGTATGTTTCGTCCAGCTGCACACCTATGTTATAACGCCCATAATAATTGATGGTTTTGCTGTAGATTGTTAGATTTTTCGCTGGCCTGTTGTCACAAGAACGGTTTATAATGAGACACGAGTTTAGCTGCGCTAAGTCGTCGTTACATATGCCTGTCTTGCAGCAAATTTCCTGTGGGTCTGGCGAGCGGTTTCTAGCTGTACCGTTATGAAAGGCGTGTTTTCTTTGCTTTGAAGATATAAACAGAAGAGACGGTAATATTTACGATGTTTATAATATCATATTACCCTGAGCTGGCCACACTTAGACACTCAATTGGAATTCTTGGAAGAGGGATGTCCAAAACTTTATTCTTGTAAAATCGATTGCTTTCGCACAGTACATAGCACCCATTTCTTAGAAAAAACGCCACAATTTAAGGCAGAACACTGTGGTCACCCC